TACATAAATCATCATTTTCAAACGAAAATTCGGAAGCACAGACTCAGCTTGTCTCCAAAAATAATATTTGCTACCGTTAAAACAAGTGTTTTTAAAATAGTAAATGACTTGAGTATACAAACAAAATTCGAAATGATAAAATCATTAAAATGGTATCGGAGATTCAAATTCAGAAGCAACAACTCAACGTTTCTTCAAAAGAAAATACAAGCATTCGCAGAAAACGTAAATGGTAAATACTTGATTACAAATAATATTAGAAATGAGAAATAATTGTTTGTTTGGTTTTTTCGAATACAGTTTTCGACACTTTTGTATGTTTTCGAAAGAGGTACTACAGATTCGAAAATAAAAATCAATTTCAAACAATATATGACGCTAACAAAACAGAATGATTAGAATATCAATTCTTGGCTTATTTCACTCTCTTTATAACCGAGGTAGGACCAACATCTACGCATGGGAAAGCACACAAGACTTGTCGCAGATTCAGCTGATCGACACGTGTTCACTCATTACAAGACTGGGTCCAACCATCTTGTCTCTTAACGTCGACACGTGGCCTACTCAGAACCCATCCGTAGTTGTCCTGATTAAGACCGGACTCGACGAGTGTGTTGTTAACGATTGGAGAGTGAATGGCTAACGATTGAGACCGACGAACTAAACTACCAAAGTCTACACATGTGGTGTGCATCATTGTTCTGTCCTTTCTTCAATTTTGTTGTTCTTGCCTCAATTATTACCACTCTTATTAGTTAATTAATCCAAATCTATCGTTTTCACGTTTCATATTCAAATTGATTACAAATAATCGTATACTATAAACATGTAACATGTCCATACTCCATTAATGTCAACGTGATTGATAAATAATAGTACGTTATTATGTGAAATTTTCTTCCTCGTTAGGTTTAGCCATAGGTCCAACGAAAATCATCGTCCACAGTACATCACTGATTTATTATATGATTGATTGGATTATCATAAGAAGAGTAATAGTTTAATTTATCTCCCGTTAACTTTTATGTATGTCAAATCGCCCATTCCCTAAACTATAACCTCTAGTCATCTATATGCATGGATAAAGACAAGGAATGACCATTTGAATAGTTTAATACTCGAAATCAATTTTTCGAATATAATTTTTATTAGAATGAATATGGAAGTTGTCTGATATCGCCAGAGAATCTGATAACAAGGGAGAAAAATTTATTGTTTTATTGCCTTTTTGATGATAAAAATATTTGAAAAGTGATGAGAATCTTGAGCATCCGTTGATCGGCGTGACAATAAAACCTCTCTAGAAGAGTATTGGTACTCTAAGAGAAAACCCCTATCGAAGTAAGCGGTTTTAATCTAATTAAAATTTTGAAGAAAACATATTTTGCCAATTTAAGAGGTAATTGGAGTGGGAGAAACCTAAAAATAGGTCGTCCAACACCGATTCAACAACAGCAAGTGTCGACAAAGTGAGAGACGAGGATATTTCGGCGAAGGAGATAAAAAATCTGCAAGAAAATCAGTAATCTCAAAAGCTTAAAGAAATTCAAATCGACTTCTCAGTTCGACAAAATTGACCGGAAAATGCGATCCAAATGGTAGCCGCGCCGCAACCTATACAAACCAGTTATGCATATTTTTACCAAAATGTAAACAGATCTTCGATCACTTTAAAACCAAAACCATTGCTTTAAACTAACAGACATAGACGATTAATCATTACCACAAGTGTCAAGCTAAACTCTAAAAGAATAATACTACAAGAATCCCTCTTTTGGGCTTAGAAAACTCCCTCTCAGCAAGAGGGTTTCATTTCAATTCAAACAGAGAAAGTTAATTCCACGAACACTTT